AAAAACAAAAAAAAAAAAAAAAAAAAAAAAAAAAAGGAAATTACACATAGAATGGTGTGAAATGTGTCGTTACAGGTTTTGTGTAAGGATGGAGGAGATACACACACACTCATACATCTTCGTGCACTTGTCTACCTCTTTCTGCAAGGATATACAGGAGCCGATAGCAGGGGCTACCTTCTTTGGGGAAAGTAACTGGAGGAGGAGGGTCACACTTAGGAGGGAGAATTGGAGAGTTTACATTTTTTTCCAAGTGCAGATGTGACTTGTATTTTTAATGATAATCAAGAGCCCTGGGTTCCAGTCCCAGCTCTGCCAGAATTCATGACTGCCCAAGCCATCCTCTGACTCCCTCTCCTGGGCACCTGTGCTACCTCCAGAGCCTGGGGGTTGGGGAAGGGCAGGGTGGGGTGAGGGCCCAGAATGAATGATTTACAGGCCCTGGGTGGAAGCTAAGGGAAAGTCCAAGCTCCTGGAAGCTGTGTCAGTGAGGGTTGGCCGTGCCCGGCCTCCTAACTGGTAACCCCTTTGGGACCAGATGCCAGGTATGTGGGTAGAGGGGAAGTCTGCGAGCCCTGGGCCCTTTGGGGCTAAGCACGTGGGGAAAGGACATCAGATCACTCACCCAGTGAGACACTCCCTCTCTGCTCTTGCTTTGAGATGCACAGAATGGCTCATCCCTGTGGCCTGGCTGTCATGATGGGCAGTGCACTAAAACATGTGCAGTAGAGGGGCCTGGGAAGCCACAAGCCAATGGCTTCAGGTGCCCAAACGGCAGCCTCAGAGCAACTGGAGAGCATTCTCAAAGCACACACCCTAGCCCCAAGTTTTAGACTCAGTGGGGCACAAATGGGCTTCTGGCAGAGCCACGTGACTAGCTCTCCAGGTGGCCCCAGCCATGTGGGTATATGGGCAAGCACATCTGGCATTGTTGCCCAGGACCATCTCCTTCTCTGAGCCTCATTTTCTGTGTCTGTAAAATTGATAATTATTATTCTAATAAGAGCCAACATGTCATGTGTATGTCTCTCAACAACCCATAGGGTTGTGCAACTGATATCTCTATTTTACAGAGGAGAAAACTGAGGCTCAGAAGTCCACACACCAAGGAGGTGGGATTCAAAGCTGGGTCTGTCCAGGCCCAGAAACAGTACTGGAACCTATCATAGGTAGGTCTTCCCCAATTACCTCCAACCCTCAGGTGTCCAAGGATGGCTCGAGATGAGAGGACAGTGCCTAGCATGGCACCTGGCATGTAGCAGGTGCACAGGGAGGGGCAGATCCTACTCATTTCTACCAGAGGCCGCGTGCTAGGAAACAGATCTGTGCAGTGGCTGGTGTGTTGGATGAGGCCATTTATTTATAAGGTCCCTTCCAACTTGGAAACATGAAGCTCCCAATGTTTGTTGATTCTCTGATCGTGTTTGTTGTTATTGCTGAAAGAATTCTAAGACTGATTTCCCAGTCTGAGAGTCTAGACACCAGGCCTGCCTAGCTGGAGTACAGTGGGCAGGAGCCATGGTGGCCTACAGTGGAGACCCCCCATCCTGCCGGGGCCAGGCAAGGACTGAGCGTGGCCTCTGCCTCAGGATAGGGTCAGTGGTTCCAAGAAAATCAAATGGCTCTGGGTCACCATCTCCTTTGGCCCCTGGCTGCTGGTTTATGGCCCTGACAGATGATGAGCTCTGACCCTCAGGATGTGGACCACAAATCCAGCCAACAACCCTCTGTGACCCTCCCTGGGTGGTCCAGCCCCATGTGATTGTACGTCAAGATCCTGCCCCACCCTCAGCACACATGCATGCACACATGTGCTCACACACACACACACACACACACACACACGAGCTTGTTAAAAACACACATGGCCAGGCTCCACCACAGGTCTGCTGCAGCTCCTCTCCCTGCTGTCTTTAACAAGCACCAGCCAGGGTCAACAGACCCTGGTCCAGTCCTGTGCCATCTGTGTGGCTGTGAGTAAGTCCCTCTGCCTTGGGCCTCAGATCCTCCTGTATAGCAGAAGAGGGCCGCGTGTCAGTTTCAAGGTCATCTGAACTCTCCGGATCTGCACAGCTCTGAGACTTTCCTTGAAGATCAGATCCCCTCACTGCTTACCACCCGCAGGCAGGGCACACCTTGCACATCCAGCCACCAACAGGATCAGGAGGCACGTCTGTGGTGCCAGCCTGGGATGACAAAGAGAAGGGGCTTTTGCTGGGAGGGGAGGAAAGGGCAGATATAGACTCGTACTCCTAAAAAGCCTCTTCTCCAGGTGAGAACGCAGGCCCCAGAGAGGTTATGCAGTCACTGGCCAAGGGCACTTGTGGAGCCCAGTGCACAGAGGGGAGTGGGAAAGACAAGGTAACTTCTGGGAACTGGCCTTCCCTGCCCCGCCCTGGGTGTCGGAGTCTCTTCTGGTCAGGGCCTTTCTGGTGGAGCCCAAAGGACAGCCCTGGTGAGATGTCCTGGCTTTGAGCAGAAGCTTTGCTTACTTGCCCAGCTCTCTTCCTAACTCAGGGTGGAACTTCAGCCCCTTTTCCTCTCTGGGCCTCGATATCCCCATCTGGGGAAAAGGACAGCTTGTCCCCAGCTATGGTCTATGGTGAAGAGAGACAAGAAAACCTGGAAACCGCAGTGGGGAAGGAAAGGGACGGACAGAACTTAAAATGGTGGGCATTTTTAGTATATTTGATAAGGAGGAAAGAATTAAAAATACATTGAGCAAGCAGATGACTTTAATATGGAAGCACAGGAGGAGTGAGGTGGCTGCAGAGGTGGCAGGAAACAGGAAGCCTGAGGTGGTGCTGCTCTACCAGCCTCTGAGAGGCTGGAGAAGGCCAGGCGTAGGAGTGAGTTTGCAGACCTTGCCTGGAGGCAGACAGCTGGGTGTAACCAGCCCAGCCATCCTTAGCCCAAGGACCAGACAGGCATCTGAAGATTCTCTGGGCTTTCCTTCCCTTGCCTCCAGCACAGAATGGACGTGATGGTGTCTGTCAACAAGCCACGGGTACAGGAAGCAGAGCTGATCTATTTGTAGATGTGGATGTTGGAAAGATCCCTTGGGAGAGGGTGGAATGCCACCTGATGGGGAGCTGCGGGGCAAGAACACACTGGCCTGGGAGTGGGTGGTCCAGCTGGGTCAGTGACCGGTGTGCAGCCTCCAATTTGGGACTCTTTCCCTTCTGCACCACTATCCAGCAGGACCTTTGCTTGGCAGTCCTGACCCCACCA